GGGAACAGAACCCCCCCTCTGGGGACAGAACCCCCCCTCCTGGGGACAGAACCCCTCTCTCCGGGACGCCTGCCAGGCCTGCGCGGGGCACGACCTGGTGACCCTGAGTCCTGCTGGGCTCCATCTGGGCCCTTGCGGCTCCAGTGGCCCCGGAACCAGTGGCCGCCGCTCCCCACTGATGAGCATGTGGGCATTACCAGCCTTTTGTTTTTGCCAAAACCAAGGGCTGTAGTGGACCCACTCCGTGTCTCCACGTCCGTGCACGTGCGGTATCTGGAGATCCTCCCTCAAAAATAAGCAGGTTTCTCACCTGGGTACATTTTTGTGGGTTTTCAGATTGAGCCACGTTTTCACCCTGTCCTAGCGCTTTCCTTTGGGATTTTACGAAGACTTCTCAAAAACGTTTAAATGCTTGATTCGAATGCGGTTTCTCTTGATGGGGCAGGACCCAGTCTGGTTATTTCCCAGATGGCTGTCTGTTGTTTGTCAGCTGGACTCCCACAGTGGCCCGAGTCCCAACACCTGAATGACTTCACAGACGAGAGAGAGTCCCTGGGGGTCAGGCTGTGTCCCCGCTGGGCCCGAGGGGTGACCACACAAACCCGATTCTAGGCACTGACCAGTGCCTACAAATTCACGTCCCGCATAGCCTCAGAACGGGGCCTTATGTGGAAATAGGGTGTTTGCCGATGTCAGTAAGTGAAGGATCTGAGATGAGCCCATCCTGGGTCAGGGTGGCCCTGAATCCAATGGCAAGTGTCCTTGTAGGAGACAGAAGGGGAGACACAGACACAGAGGAGAAGCCACGTGAAGACAGAGGCAGAGATGAGGAGGACAGGCCCACGAGCCCAGGGACCCCTGGAGCCCCAGAAGCTGGAAGAGGCAGGAAGGACCATCTGCTGGAGCCTCTGGAGGGACTTTGGTCCCGCCCCCTTGGATCTCAGTGGTCCTGCCCTGCCTGGATATCAGACTTCTGGCCGCCAGAGCTGGGATACAATTAATTTTTGTTCTTTGAAGCCTCCCGCTTTGTAAGGGAGCCACAAAAAACTCATAGAGCCAATACATAATAATTGCAGACAAATGCAAACGTGTAAGTTAAAAAAAATTACATTCTCTGTGACGTATATAGATTTGTCTGCAGTTTATAGTTCTATATTATAATATATATGTGAATCCATTTACATATAGGGATAATCCATTTTTATATATAAAGATATATACTATAAACAAAAAGAAGGCCCAACTGTACAATTTTTGATCTACGTTTTCACTTAGCATAATATTGTCTGCATTTTCTGTATCAGCAAATATGGAGCCGCAGTATCGTCTTACTGGCTGTGTGCCCTCCGCTGACATTCGTATAGGAGTGTATGTAAGTGAGGACTGTCCCTGGGCGTGGGGACCGTCCACTTCCCCATCGCAAGCTTCTCCAGGCGCATCCTGAGTCTTGGACTCTTGACCAGGTGGTGGGAGGGGATCCCTCCCACTGCCCTCTGCCTTCATGTCATGCCCTATGGCCACGCCCCCGTCATCGGTGTCAGGAACCCCTGGCCACACCCACGTGCTCCAGGAGAGAGGTGTGTCACTGTGCTCTCACTCCCTGGTGATCACATCACAGGGTTTCCAGTTTGCCCTGGGGCCATTTTCCTTGTGGGAGGCGGTTTCCGGGTGGTTCCAGGGGATCTGCAGGGAACTCTTCTGGGAGGAACAGCCACCAAGGGCCCAGGGCATGCCCTTCTTCAGGCCCGTCCCCTCCCCTCCCCTCCCCTCCGTGCCCCGCAGAAGCAGGTGGCCTCTGGGGAGCGTGTGGGAGAGTAGCTCCCTTAGGGGTCAGATCCGGGGAGCGGGGGCAGCTGTGGGCGGTAGGGGACGCCCCAGCACCACAGGGGAAAGGGCCCCTAGTCCCCGAGGCGCCGTGTCCAGGTGGCTGTGAAAGTGTCCTGGGGCCGCTGTAACAAAGGGCCACAATCTGTGTGGTTCCAAACAGCTGTGTGAACTCACAGCTCTGGGGCCAGAAATGTGCACGGGTGTGACCTTTCAGTGCCCACAGGCCCGGCTCCTTCTCTTTTCTCTGCTGCCTCCAGCCTCCGTCTTCTCCTTTCATACGTTTGCGTTCGGGGTTGTCCTCAGAAAGATTTCCTGGCACATTCCGACAGAGCAGGACGGCTTCGTTTCTCCAGCTAAGCCTGTAAACGTCGTGGGTTCCGCGGGATGGGACGCAGGGCCCAGGAACCTCTCCCGATCTCGGTGCTCACTGATTTTGTCCAGCGAGCAGATCGCCTCTGTTATAACACCTTAGACGCGCAAAACCGCGCCCGTCTTTGAAGTCAGCGCTCTGATGCGTTGATCTGTGGAATCGGCAGCACCGGGTCTCAGTGATTCCGGCAGCTTCGCTTTTTTATACGTATTTGTGCTTATTTACACGGACGTCCCTGTACAACATGCGAACGTTCGCACCCAGTAAACGTGCCGCTTTCTTCTTCAAGAGTTTCTGGAAAACCTTCACGGACGTCAGTGCGGACGGACATGGGGGTGTTTCTCCAGGTCAGGGGGGCACGTTGGTGGCTGTGCTGGATGAGGATCACTTGGCGCGGAAAGGTCCCCGAAACCAGGGGCGGAGTTCCCCGCGAGGAACCGCGTGGTGTCATGTGGCATCTCCTCTGTGTCTGTGTCTCTCCTCGTGTCCCTTAAAAGGACACCCAGGTTTAGGGCCACCCTGGTCCTGGACGACCCTGTCCCATCGGCACGGTGGGCATGAGTTTGGGGCAGTACCCACCGCCGGGCACGGGGCGCCTGGTGGAGGGGGCTCCCGGGGCGCCCGGCAGCGGGGGCTCACGGGGCGCCCGGCGGAGGGGGCTCCCGGGTGCAAAGTCCCCTCGGGTTTGCTTGCAGGGAGTCATGACACCATGACGTACTGCTTGGACAAGAAGTCGCCCATTGCACAGAGCCAGTCCCGGCTGCTGCAGCTGCTGGGCAAGATCCTTCCCTGCATCACACGCCCCATCGTGCTCAAGTGGTCCACCACCCAGGTGAGGGGCGCGGGGCCCTGGGGCCGGCCGATCAGTGCCATCTGCCGGGTGGGTGCCCTCCCCGGCAGGGCAAACACTACTGAAAACAGACGTTTGGCCAACCCAGCCCAGCAGCCACAAACAATGCACGTCCCCGTGTCTTTGTGAGGTGTTTTGCCGGCTGGAGGCAGGCCGCACGGGATCCCACTTCAGAGCCCCCAGTCCTGGGGAACCTCCTCTGGGCCGTGCCGTTGTCTAGAGGCCTGTTTAGAGACGGGCACACGTTTGAAAAGGAGGAGAAAGAACCCACAATGACAGGTTTCTGCCCTGAATGCTCAGGGAGGGACAGG